CCTGACTTAGATCAGCCCAGAGGTTGTTTCAGGGTTGGTTTTGTTGTGAGTTAGCCGTACGCTGAATTCGGTCAACCCAGAGGTTGTAATAAGGGTTCGATCTGAGAGTTAGCCGTACCCTGACATTGGTCAACACAGAGGTTGTTTCAGGGTACAATCTGTACCGGGAGTAATCTGTGCCCTTACTTCTTTGAGCCCAGAGATTGTTTCAGCCGAAATTTGATATTTCAAACGATGTCTTTGACACATTAATATCGCCTGAGTTGAAGTCTTAAATCATCAGCTCTATAGTCTATGCCACTTAATATTCTCTTGTCTATGCTTAAGAGCAGAGGAATGAGGGCTATAAACTCAAGTTTACAAAGTCGCACTCCACTATCTAGTGACGGTCTGAAAAAATGTTTTTGGACCAGAACTTATTTCTGAGCTTTAATATGTATTTTTAAATTTCTCTTCAAAATTTGGTCAAAATCAAAAACTCGGTCACAATATCCAACAAAACTATCTATCAAAATATATAGGAAAAAAATAAATTTTTATACGACTATCATTTTGGACTAGCTATCAGATATGGAATATTTGTTTACAAATCGAATTTAATGTGTCATCGAATTCGTAATTATTTTTGCATGATATGATGTAATAATTCATTATACAGAAGATGGGGTAACTAATGGGATACTAGGGTATGGCCTTGGTCACAGGGTCTAACTACGGCTCTGCTCATTCAATCAGCTTAGCCACTGCAGTACTTTCCTTGACACATATTTTTTCGACCATTCTATTCGTGGAAAAAAATAGAACTCACCCAATTTGTTTTTTTCCAAGTGTTTGAAGAAGTTAAAAAAAGTTGTTTTGCCCAGTCACGATGAGCCGGTGCGCAAAAAACTCACATGCGTAGAAAGGATGAAGAGACAGCAACAACAACCACAACAACAGAACAATCGGCGCATAGGAATACATATTTCGTTATCTTGAACATTTTGTTTACCGACAAGAACACGAATCTGCCACAATCCTTGGAAAAGCCCAGGCTTTCGTACCACTGATAAGGAAAACCCGCTGTTTCACAACTCCAGAGTTTTTAATTGCCATGGCAAACTTGGCAAGCTTTTCCATGAATAAAATTGTCGTTCGCGTGGTCTTCAAAGCCATATACATTTTTGATAGACTTACCTCAAGGTTTCAAGGTTTCATAGATTTCTTTATGGTGAATTTTCCACCATTTGACGCTTTAAAATGTCGAAAATATGGATGAAAACGTCTAGATATTATGGCGAAGAAACACTTGCTCGACCCTCTTGAACTTAGCCTAGAGACCTGGCCTTTAACAAAGAAAGCCCAAAACGTTTTAAAAAATCACAGGGAACCCGCGCAGACGACAATATAAGTTTGATGAATTAATAATAATAATAATAATAATAATAATAACGACAACAACAACAACATTAATAATAATAATAGTAAATAATAATAAATAATAATAATAAATAATAATAATAATAATAATAATAATAATAATAATGAAATATCAGTTAACTGTTAAGGGATATTTGTACTCATGTCAGGCTTTTTCCTGAGATATTATTTTGTCTACTGACCATAATCGGATAATAAAATAATAAAAGTTTTATATAATAATAATAATAATAATAATAATAATAATAATAATAATAATAATAATAATAACTCAACAGCTGTATTATATCTACCTAGAGAGAAAGGAGGACGAGGACTGCGATCCATTGAACAAGAGTATAAGCTGATCAAGATCAAGGCTGCTGTCAAACTTTACGAGAGTCCGGACCCCATAATGAGAGCTGTTCAACAGTTTGAAGAAAGAGCTGCAGACAAGGGGATTCTCCTCTCTCATTATGGCTGCAAAGACATTTGTCCAGGAACTGAGAACAACTCTGAACCTAAATACCCCTGAATCGTCTGGTAGCCCATTAGAAGAACCGGAGATAAAGAACTAGGGAATGCACATCAAGAAACAATTTAAGAGAGCTGTAAATGAAAAACTCGTGGGGAAGGTTGAAGATCAACATTGGCAAGAAAGTTTACTGAAAGCAAAATGGCAGGATGATCTATTAAGTCATGAAGGTTGCTTTGCGTGGCTTAACAAGTGGGTAAGCGCTCCTACCCATTGTATTGCAGGCATTATGGAATTGTACGAACAGCTAACCCCAACGAGAGTCTACACCGCCTGCAAGACGGGAACAACAGACAAGAATAATGTCACATGCAGAATGAGAATATTCTCACATGCAGAATGTGCGGCGAGGGTTCCGAATGTCTGGCACATGTACTGGCTGGATGTCCGTCTCTTGCACAGGCCAAGTACCTGGATAGACACAACGCTGCTTTGAAAGTGTTTTTCTTTGAGATGCTAAGAGATCTCAAACTGGCTGATAGTACACCCCCATGGTTTTCTGATGTCAAACCCAAAACCACTCTACCAATCAACTGACGCTGAAGCATACGGGGATGTACCTGTATATGCTGACCACATGTATGTACGATCTAATCGTGTGGACGCGCGTTTCATTGACCACAATAACAAGAAAGTACTCATGGTGGAAATGAGCTGTCCGTGGGTWAACAACCGAGAAAAGAAAGACAAAGAGAAGACGAAGAAGTATGGAGCACTTAGACTTGAGCTCACAAAACAAGACCCAGGATACACGATCTTGCAAGTGAACCTCATTTTGGACACTCTTGGAGGATGGTCTAAAAAGATGGAGCCTGAGATGAAGAATATCTTTGGAGCAAGATACAAAGATGTATTACTTAGAATGCAGAAAGCGGTATTAAGCTGCACAGTGAACATTGCAAGAACATTCAAATTAATCACATCTAAAGGACATTTCAAACCATGTTCTAAGTATTTAAACTGCATCTTAAGAACATTACAGTTAATTTAAGTTTAGTAAATCTTATTATGAATTTTTTTTTAAGTGAGTACCATCTTAAAGAGAACTATATGATAAACATTTAAAACCTACTATTAGAAATAAGACATTTTACGATATAGCTATATATATATATTACCCCCTCCATAATAATAATTCTTTTATTTATTTTAATCTTAGGATAGTGTTACAGATTCATAGAATATAGAGGGGTTTTTTGTTGCTAGAAATTTATTGCAACTGATTGTGTATATATATATATATATATATATTTGTTTGAGAAGAAAAAGTCAAGACAACATTTTTCCCGACAAGCCTGTTTCGTGAATTGCTTCACTCTTCAGGGGATTTAATGATAAGAATATTCGTTACTATCATTTATATAAAAAAGTATACAT